CTAGAGTTAACTCAATTTAAATTAATCAATTTTATAAATCCAAATATAACATTAATGATCAATAAAAATATTACTTAGTTTTTTTCAGAAACCTTTAAGAAGACATTTTAAAAAATTATTAAGATAATGAAAACTTAGATCGATTTTGATTCCTTTGCGATCCATGTTATAGACTCTATTAAGTTTAATAAAAAAAATTTAAAAGAATTATTTAATTATATAATAAAAATATATTCTCTCAAAATTGAATACCAACATAAAAATAGATATTTTTTTTAGACAAGTATCCATATAAAAAGCAAATAAAATTTCATAATACAGTCTATTTCTCAATCAATTTAATATTAAAGGATAAAATAAAATAAATTAAATTAATTAAAAACAATTAAAAGATCAAAAATTAAAAAAATATATTTTATCGGTTGATAAACTCATCAAACCTATAAATCGAGTAAGTCAAAATGGTACATCAAACATGTGCATTGAGTTATGGACTTCACTATGATTATATATTTTTTAAAATAATTTTTTATTTAATTATACGATAACAAAAATAAATAATTATAAAATTAAATATCAATCTAATACTAAGATATTTTTTTTAGATCATAATAGCCTTATAAAAATTAAAACAAAACTAATTATAAAATTACATTTTCAATTAACCTAATATTTAACACTGAAATAAAAAATAATAATTAAAAAATTAAAAAATTAAACCTGAAAATTAAATTATCCCGTAAAAACTTTGAGCATTTCAATGTACCTTGAAAAGAACCTGTTTTGATTTTTTAAAAACAAAATAGCTAACTGTTTTGATTGATACTTACCACTTCTAGATGTCATTAGTCACCAATAAATAACATTGTAGTAGCCATCATCATAATAATTTAATTTTAAAAGTAATTTTCAAACTCAAATCAAATAAAAAAATAAGATTAGATTTTAATATAGTATTTAAGAATATGATAATTGTTATTTTTTAAACTGATTTTTATTTAAAACATATTAAAAAAATTATTTTTAATATTAATATATTAAAAATTTATAAAAATAAAAAAAATAATTTAAAATAAAAAAATATTATTTTTTTTTTAAAAAAAAACATGCCCTTATAACACCTGAAGTTTATGGTGACCAGGTCAGAGATGAGTGCGGATGGGCTCCCGATGACAAAGCCTTTTATTCTTTTATTATTTGGAGGAGGTCTTGATTACCAGTAGAGATGACATCTTATAGATGTGATCCCGTCTTATAATTTATTCATTCATATCTACATCACAAAGCGTAAAGGATACGAAATAAAACAATCATTAATTTAAGGGTTCCCTTTATATTTTAGTTGTTAGTAGACATGAACAGCACTATATTGTAAACTTATTTTTTTAAAAAAATTAACAACTTGAGTTGTAGGTCTAATTGCATCAAATAAATTTTTATTTTAATAAATATCATAACAAAAATATCAATGGCTAAAAAAATAATTTTAAGACTTTGAATGATAAGAATAATTTTCAAAGAAAAAAAATTGAAAAAAAAAATTAACAACCTTGCCAATTACAATTCGACACACAACTCCCGGCATGCACTACCTCAGGAGGAGAAAGAAGATACTATTAGGATTCAAATAACATGATGAGAAGGTTATTTTGGCCATTAAAAAAAACCACACATGACACCACAAGGTTACAAGGAACCTTTCATATGTCAATAATATTTTATTTAAATAATATTTTATATTTTTTAAAAAATTAAATTGTTTTTGATTAACTTAATAAGAACATAAAATCAAAGTGAAAAGACTAAAAAACCCCTAAACCTAACCTTTATTTTTTTTATCTTCCTAGGGTAAACAACCCTTTTACCTTGTTTGGAGATGTACAAAGATAAAAAAAAATTTAGATGTGTTTTAAAATAGTTCACTTTTTAAAGTAATTTAGTCATTTTAATGTACTAAAAAAAGACACAAAAACTCTTGATTAATCTAATAATAACTAATGGATTATGAGAAAAGACTAAAATACCCCTAACACAAAGTTCATTATTTATTCTTAAGAGAAAAAAAGTAATGACACTATACTGGTGAAAGGTAAAATGTGTTAATGGCCACCCTATTTTTACCTTTTGTTTTATATTTTTATTATTATTATAACTAGTTCTAAAATCTACTTTCCGTTATGGGTAGTTTTCCAACTTAGTTTTTGACATAGCAAAAAAATATACTAATGTTTTAGATATATGTTATTGTATTATGTTTTTTAACTTAAAAAATGAGAATATGCAATTTTTGTTTAGTAAAATAAATTTAAAAATAGTTGAATTGATTAATTATGAAAGAGTTGAGAATGCTACTTAGATGAGTATGCTGTCATAACTCAAATTTTAACTTATTTACTTTTAATTTAATTTTTAAAGAGGATAAAAATTAGATATTAAAAGATTATGGATTGATTTCGATTAAAGGTATGATTTGTTAACTTGTAAAAAACCAAGGATTGTAGTATGTTTTTACCTTCTTCTTTTTCTGTTAATTTTTAGTATGAAGAAAATCATCAAAATATTTTCAATTCTTTTGATTTTTTAAATTTTATAAAAATTTAAATTTTAAAAAAATAGAGTTTGTGTTTGTTTGAGACTTAACATTTCTGTACAATAAATACAACCCTAAATCATAAATAACAAAGGGAGCCAAAAACAAAAGAAAAAAAAAAGGCCTAAAACATTTTTTCCACACTTCTCTCTCCAGCTCATTCATTCTCTTAAAGGACACAAAAAACCCTAGCCCCCTATCTTTACAAAAGATAGCCACCACAAAAAAAAAATAAAAAAATAGATATGAGCTAGGTTACCTAATTAATCACCACAGGTGCAACCATTACCAACAATTGAAGCTCCTCAACCACCGTGAACACACACCAGCCATAACAGCAGCATCGTTTTCAACTCTAGCAACATCACTGTGTCTCCATTGAAGCACTCATGAAAATTGCACGCCTCCAGCTTAGTTGTGAGAAGTTCTTTTCCACTGTGACCAGCTCCTCCACATCTTAACTGGCACTACCTTATTGGAAAATAATATAAAATTATATCTTGAGACCTCACCTAATAGCTTAAGCTTTTGGGTTGGGATTGTTCTTTAATATGGTATCAGAACCTTGATGATCAAGCGGTCACGAGTTCGAATATCACAATCCCCATTTATTTGATAAAAACTAAGCACAAGGTAAAGTGAACCTGTACAAGTTTTGACACGACTAAAAGATTGATGTCTTCTCCCAAGTGCAGGAGTGTCGAAGTAATAAATAACCCAGCAAGACCGGGGTCGAACCACAGGGAGGTTAATTGTACAAATTATAAACAACAATTATAAAACAACAATAACAACAACAACAATAGTA